ACCTATTTTAAGGCCAGTGTTTCTTAAATGCACCTGTATAAATGTAGAAAAGTTTTTAGTCACCATGTTCAGTGTTTTGTATCTTCTCTTTTTTCACTTTACATTGTATCTTTCTGCCCAGCCTTTAAATTGTGTAGTTCTGGGGCGCCTGAGTGGCTTAGTCCATTAAGTGTTGGACTCTTGATTTCTGCTCAAGGTCATAATCTCAGGATCATGGGGTTGGGCTTAATGCTCAGCGGGGAGTCTGCTTGTCCCTCTCCCTCTGCTCCCCCCCCCAACTCACACACACTCTCTCTCAAGTAAATAAATAAATCTTTAAAAAAAAATTGTAGTTCCTAAAGTCTTTTATCATTCTATATTCTCCTTTTCAAATACAGGTTTCCCCAGCTATCCAAAAGTAGAGCATTCCAGTGAGACCATTCATAAGCCAAAATGGTATAAAGGGAAGTGTATCCCCTGCTTTACGAAGTTTGTGTGAGGCCTCTTCACTTTTTTACGAAAGACCTACATTAGTGCCTGTTTTTCCTAACTGAAAGAAATCCAGAGGGTTTTCACTCTTAAAAAAAAAAGCCATTATTGTAGCAGTGTACATAATATCCATCCTACACTTTCCTTCTGAGCTCCATACCTCCTGTTGGTATACATGACTTAGTCTTTTTACCTCACATGGATGCTTCATATGCAGTACAAACTCAGGTCTGACACAGAAGTTATCTTCCTCTTCTCCAAAACTTTTTCTTCTAACACTGCAGCCTCCCACAGCAATACATCCATCTGTCCATTCCCTCAAGTGAAAAACCTAAGGCCATCCTTCGCTCCACCTTTTCTGTAACTTCCTTTCCTCAACATAAAACCAGTCCCTGGTGCCCACTGCTAACTTATATCATTAAGCTCTCAAGTCCAGCAGTGTGACCCTTCCCTCTCTCTCTTAGCTTAAGGCCTCCTTGTCTCTTATTTGCATTGCTCCCTGAGCCTCCTAGCTAATCACCTTCTTTAGGGCTCATTGAGTTTCTCCAGTTTATTGATGTATGCTGCAGCTGGAGTGGCCTTTTTATAAAATGCAGTCTGATCATCTCACTCACCTACTTATAAGCCCCAGGGGCTTCCCATTTGCTCTTAGTTAGGATGAAGTCTTATTAAAGGTTGTACCCTCACCTTAAACTTAATTCCTGTAGAAGACTTCCCTGTTGGTCTCCCTTTTATAGCTCTTGTTCACACTTTGTGCTTTGTTTTGTTATGTATTAGTATAGTTAGTGGTTAAGAGCTTGGGTTCTAAAGCCAGATAGGCTAGGTCTGAATACTAACCAGTACTGATTACTGTTTACTAACTGTATATACTCGGGCTTAGGACTTACCATCCTCTGCCTCAGTCTTCCATCTGGAAATACTAACAGTGCCTACATCATAGGATTGTTGTAATGATTTTTTTTTTTTTTAAGATTTATTTACTTATTTTTGAGAGAGAGAGCGAGCAGCAGGGAGGGACAGAGGGAGAGAGAAACTCCATGCTGAGCACAGAGCCCTTCGCAGGGCTCAATCCCAGGACCCTGAGATCTCGACCTGAGCTGAATCCAAGAGTCAGACACTCAACCAACTGAGCCACCCAGGCGCCGCGGGTTGCTCTAATGATTCGATGAGCTATATCACAGGAACATTGGTGCTTAGCAGATGTAAGCTCATCAGACTATTCTTAGAAATCCTGACAGTGAGGCAAGGACTGTGCCTTTTTAGTTTACTGAAGACAAACCTGGATTCTAATTCTGAGTCTGGGAAAAAATAATGGGATTTGTACTCAGAAAACTTCAGTTCTGATCTTTGTTCAGCTGTGAGCCATTTTGTTTTTGTTAAGTTGGACAAGCATTAAACATCATGGGTCTAACCTTCCTCACCCATCAGGAGTGATCTGTGAGCTCTCTTCCAATTCCTGGTTCTCTGATTCGAGTAGTAGTTCCTTCTCAAGCACTTAATGGTTCAAGGAGGCTTACTCAGGCCACAAAGTAGAAAAGATCATACGGCATTGCTCACTGTGGATCTAAAAATCACCAAAAGTACAGTTAGCACTCACTCGGCCTTAAAGTTAGTTGCCCAGCTTCTGAGCTTTTTGTCATGACCTTTCTTGACAGCCTTCTGCCACTGCCCTATAGTATTTGCACTGTTTCTAATACCACAGATAGCTGCTAAGAGGGGCATTTCTTTTTGAAGAAAGGGCTTATATAGGAAATAAAAAATGCAGATTGGGGCCTAATAACTGTTCAGTACTGACCTAAATACTAAAGACCACTTTCTCCAACCCCTTTAAAGCCTTTTCATGGTTGCCAGGTTCACTGGGAAACAAAGCAGATTGTGAGTCAAAAAAATACAGACTTTTATCTACACCAAGGTGGAAAATATTGAATCAGTTGCTCAGTAATTGACCATATTAGCCTTATGGGAAGGGTATACTTTACTCACCTAATCTTGGGAGAAAGATGTGTCATATATAAGTCAATATATATTGATAATTTTTATGAGTGCACTTAAAATTTTATTTTCTATTATCCTTTATGCTTTTTTGCATTCTCACATGAACTTTTTAATCTTTTCTCTTTAAGCTTTTAATAATGTAATTAGCAAATGTTTAACACTTTATGTGGTTTACCCCATTTAATCCTCTCAACAACCCAAACTTTATAAATGAGACTGAGGCTAAGAGAGGGTATTAGCACAGAGTTCTCTGTAGCTAGTAAGTTTATGACTCCAAAATGAATATTCTTAACTACTGCATCCTATATTATTTCTGATCTTAGGCTTTTATAATTTTGTGACAGTTTACCTTTCTTTTTTTTTTTTTTATAAGGATTTTATTTATTTATTTGAGAGAGAGAGAATGAGAGACAGAGAGCATGAGAGGGAGGAGGGTCAGAGGGAGAAGCAGACTCCCTGCCGAGCAGGGAGCC